AATGTATAAGGAATAATACACAGAATTCTTCAAGCTCTTTTCTCTCTTTTATTTGCCTCAAGTTTTCTCTCTGTTTTTTCCTAAGTAAAATAGGTTCACAAAATTTTTTATATACTTGGCGAGATTGTTAGGACTTTCCTTAATTTTCTTTTTGGTTATTTATGTTGTTGCTTTAATTGCAAGTTTGGCAGTTTAAGTATTTTGTGTTGGACCAAGCTTCGGAACTAGATTGACTAGATACCATGTTGCTCTTTCTGCAAGTTCATTTGTCATGGATATATTTTTTTTTCTGGCATATAACATTTTTCATGGCTCAAGCTTCTGTATCTACCATTTGGATTAATTAAATAGCTAGTAAACAATACTTTTGAAAAAGTATTATATATATATTTTTACGAGTACATCGATATTTTTACACTAAAAGAAGGGGGAGTTCAGCTAAGCTATATAATGAGCAGCCTAATTTGGTATCGAATTCGCCATTCACGAGATTCGAACCTAAGATCTCTTATTTCCAAATGAAGAGGAATACCACTTGTCACATCCCGGCCCGGGGTAGAATGTAACAATTGGTATCAGAGCCTAACCCTGGTCGCGTGTGTGCCGACGAGGACGTCGGGCCCCTAAGAGGGGTGGATTGTGACATCCAACATCGCCCAGATGAGTGATCCTTATATATATATTCTCATCCCTACCTAGCACGGGGCTTTTTGGGAACTTACGAGCAACTTCCTAGTGGGTCACCCATCATGGGATTGCTCTAACCCCTTATCGCTTAACTTCGGAGTTCCTAGGGAACCCGAAGCCCGGGGCTGAGATGTGACAATTGGTATCAGAGCCTAACCCTAGCCGCGTGTGTGTCGACGAGGACGTCGGGACCCTAAGGGGGGTGGATTGTGACATCTCACATTGCCCAGGGGAGTGATCCTTATATGTATATTCCCATCCCTACCTAGCACGAGGCCTTTTGGGAGCTCACTGGCTTCGGGTTCCGTAGGAACTTCGAAGTTAAGTGAGAAAATGGCTAGAGCAATCCCATGATGGGTGACCCAGTGGGAAGTTGCTCGTGAGTTCCCAAAAACAAAACCATGAGGGAATGGTAAGCCCAAAGCGGACAATATCGTGCTACAGTGGTGGAGCGGGCCCGGGAAGTGATCTGTCCCGGGCCAGGATGTGACACCACCAGACCGTAGTATTGAGTGAAAATATTATATTTTATTTAGGATTTATTAAAAATGGAATTATAAAGACACACTCACGAAGAATTCAACTCTAAAAAGTTTTTGCAAACTAGAACTAATAAAATTACAATAAAGTATGGTTAATTACAAAGCAATGAGCAGATTTCAAGAACTTTGAAGCTAAACTCATCAGAAAACTGCATGATTACAAAGAACAATTGAAGAGTCCTTAAACCACTTGTTACACGAGATCATGTGAGAATAACAACTCTCAGATTATATATTAGGAGTTAGATACTCATGGGTCTAAATGCACCACCTAATTATTGTTATAACTCCAAAACACTAAGTGAAATAGCTCTAACAAATCAAACATCTTCACCCCTTCAGGTATAGGTCTAAAAGATATCTAGCATACCAAGGCAAAAACTAAAATGAAATATCTCTCCTAAAGAGAGAAATCAAAATCATCAAGCTCCAAATTTTCGCAGAAATTCTTAAAACATAATCAAACTGAAGAGAAAAAAACCAAACAACGCATATCCTAACAGTTATAAGTTTTTATCCACTATTGATGTTTTGATTGATTCCTAGTTAAAAAATTCATTTAGGACCTTCCATTGCAAAGTGAGAACGTGACATTCTCAAGCAATGTGAGAAGGTGTTGCGAATTCAAAACCCTAATTCAAAGTATAAGGGCTTATGTGGTATGAAATTTTTTTAAAAGCAGTTTTTTTTTATTTTTTAAAAGTTGGTTAAAATTGTGTTTGGTAAATAAAAAAAAAAGACCAAAATTATGGATCTAAAACAACGGAAAGTAAAAGCAACTCTACTCCTACTTCTGAAAGCAACACTTGTTCTCACAGCACACATGAACGCCAAACTAGGCCCAAGTCTAGTGTTAATGATTGTACAAACATTGTTTTGACTTAAACACCACCGCGTTTACATAATACAGTCACATTATTCAAATGAAGGACCACATGTTGAAAAGGTATAACATGGAGGAGAGGTTATCTTGTTCTAAAAGTTGTTTGAGTAATTAAACATATGAATAATTAACAAGGGAAGGTGGAGAGGACGCGGGAAAGAGGGAGGGTGAAGGGGGGACTTGGAGAGAAAGGGCCAGAAAAATACGAGGTACAGCAAATGGGAAGGGGGCCAAGGAGGAGGCCATTGGTTGCTGGCTGGCTAAACAAGAACGAAAGAGGCAAAGGTGGCCCTCTTCCCGTACTCTTGGATTCGACATTTTTAGAAAGACCTTCCTTTTCCTACCATTATTCCCATTCCTTTTTCTAATACCAAACCAAACCCAGTAATAACAACCAACCTCTCTCTCTCCTTGTCTCTCCTCTCCTTCTGCCATTTCTTTTTCTGAGGTCCTTGAGTCACACACAATAATTATACCCCTTTTTGGTTTCCCAAAATGCCCCTTTTTTCCATCCACTATTTACTGCCCTCTCTCGCTTAAGGTAAAAACCTAGTGAAATATGAGAAAACCTGAATTTGTGAATTAACATTTTGTTTAGATGAGGAAATTTAAGATTATTTAAGAAATTTTAAAAGATGGAATTGAAATGACAGAATTTTATTTTTTGGATTTTGTGATTTTTTTTGTTTAGTTAATCTAAAAGAACAATGAAACTTGAATACGGAATTTGCTATTTTTAAACTCTCCTCAACTCCAAGTATTTTTTTTAACGTAAAATTTTTAATTTTTATGTAAATTCAAACAAGAAAATTGCTAGATGTCGATTTATAAATTTTGACTTTTGTCAAAAGTCTAAATTTATTTACATCATCCAAACATATTGTAAGTAGCTAACAAAGGCAATTGAGTAATTGGTCATCTTATTTAATATTTGGGTTGTCTATTTCCATTAGTGGGTGAGAAGAGAAGGGAGCGAGAAAAGAAGAGAGAATGCTTTTCGATTTGGTTAACGTGGGAAAGTTTGGTAAAAAAAAAAAAAAAAAAAAAAGAGATGATTCTTTCTTTTTTCACCATTTCCCCGTCTGATCTATACTCCACGCGCCTTAATTTGATCAATCCCACCAATCAGAGTCAAAATAAGAAACAAAAATTATTGTGTTAAATATTGTCGTCTAATGACAAGTAACTATTTACCACAGTGATGGAAATAAGTTCACCCTTTGCGTGACGGCATGGGTTTAAACCCCGTCGGTGACTACTCTAACATCTAATCTAACAAGATTTATCATCTGACAAAAAAAAAAAAAAAACCATTGTGGTCTAATGATATGATTTTCAACTTAATTACAAGTGGGATCAAAGTTCTAAAAACCGTTAAACGCTAGTTGATCACAAATTGGAGCCTAACGCTTACAAGCCTAGACGGACTAAACGGGTTTAAGTAAATTTATTATATGTATACTAGCCCAAGTCAACACCCTTTGTGTGAAGCAATTTGTTATTTGAAAAATATATGGGAAAGACTAGAGGGAGAAGTTTGAGAGAAATGTGAAAGCGTCGTTGAGAGTGATAGGAAGAGAAAAAAACATGGAAGTGGAGAGAGGTTTATATTTATATTTTATATTTCTAAAAATTAGAGATATATTATGATAACGCGGGTGAGGGAAAGAAAAAACAACAAAATTTAGTTTGTGCAAAATTATATTATTATTCATGATTTTATTTTGTGATATAAAATCAAATGATTTTTTCACTTTCTTTTGATTAACAAAGAGAATTTTATTAATAGATAATTTAGATATGTATATGTATATATACAAACGAATGAGTGCCTATTTAAAAATGATTAGTTTACTTAAATATAAATATGTATTATAAATAATTAATGGGCCTTATTTTCAATAAATAAAAGAATATTGGGCTTCGTTTTTTTTTTTTTAATGAAATCATATTTGTACGACCCTTATTAATTAGGATTTTATAAAAAAGACAACAAGGTGGTGCATCCTTATTAATCTGCGTTTCTCCTCCTTTTGCAGATTGAACACAGAAAAATTTGAAATTATGATCTCACTTTTCTGAATTCCGAAGTGTTATCAACCAAGTCTAGGCATCCCAACGCCCGCCTAATCTTTTTCTTGTTTTGCCTCCTGACTTAGGCTAAATTGTGATTGATGACCACCGCGTAGCGTTTAAACGTCATCGAGGTCGATTTTTAGAACATAAAGTGGGGCAGGGTGTGTAAATGACATTTATGATACTAAATTATTATTATTAACTTATTTGACTCGAATCTACACCTCTCTAACGTAAAATATCACTGTATATAATAAACAAAACAAAAAACAGTGTAATTGACACAAAGCATGCAACTTATGACTTTCTCTCTCCTAAACTAATTTATTCCCCCACAGCAATTGTAAATATATCTATGTATTTATAAGAATAAAAAAAATAAATAACAAACTTGCAAAAATGTATCAAAAGTCTAAAATAATGAGAGATTTTTCAATGTAACTAGAATATAGAATGATACATATCATCATATAATTAGTGAGATATATATGTTAAAAAGTTAATAATTTAAAAAATAAAATTTCTCATCATTTGTATAAAAACACGTGTCAGATTACCTGTGTTTGGGTCATAGTAAATTTTTTTTTTTAAAATAACTTTAAACACAAGTAATGCGTATTTCATACTTATTTTAATGAAAAACATAACATAATTAAGTGCAATAATAAATTAGTTATTTTAAAAATTAATATAACAAATTAAAAAAAAACAAATTGTATAACTTCGTACGACATTTGAAAGATCTTTTCGAAACAAAAATAGAAAAGAAAGGGTTAACCAAAAAAAAAAAAGAAAGAGAGAGAAAACCATGAGTCATTGAAAAGAAAGGAAGGCAAGTGGTTAGAGAGACGTATTAAGATGAGTGTGGTGGGATTCTTGAGCTAAAGCTTTGCTGAAAACTGGCCTCGTCTATGCTGTATCGGGCAGTTTAGGCGCCATTCCAACACAGGATCCTGCATCACCTCCACTCTCTCTCTCTCTCTCTCTCTAGCTCCATAGCTCGTCCTTATAGCTCTCCTCTCTTTCTCTCTCTAACTTTTTTCCTCTTCGTGTTTCCTTGTTCAAGTTGATGCCTTTTTGCCACGCTGAATTCTGAGTTTGATGTAAAAAACGAAACCGACACCTAACCAGACAGCTGATAGGCAAGGGAGAGACAGGGAAGATAAAAAAAAAATGTGGGATCTCAATGACTCGCCTGATCAGCGGCCACGTGGCGAGGAATCTGAAGGCTGCTCCTCCCAGAGGACCTCCGCCGACGGAGACGAGGAAAAGAGGAAACGGGTCGGATCCGTGTCCAATTCAAGCTCGTCGGCGGTGGTCATCGAGGAGGGCGGATCAGACGAAGAAGAAGATCAGGACGACGGGCCCACCAAGCTCGCCAAGAAGCAAGGAGGAGGTGGGGGAAAGATATTCGGGTTCTCCGTGGCCCACGAGGAGTCCATGGATGATGATCCGCCCGCGACCGTCACCAGACAGTTCTTTCCGGTAGAGCTAGACTCTTCCTCCTCCTCTAATCTTGACGTAATGGGGCCCGCAGGGGGCGGCGGTAGCATCCCACCACCTCCTACATCGTCGTCGTTTCCCCGAGCCCACTGGGTCGGGGTCAATTTCGGGCAGTCGGATTCGGGCAGCCTCGGAAATCAGCCGCCCGCCGGGGAGGCCTCCCACCAGCCCATGAAGAAGAGCCGGCGTGGGCCCCGCTCCAGGAGCTCCCAGTACCGGGGTGTTACGTTTTACCGGAGGACTGGCCGTTGGGAGTCTCATATTTGGTTAGTTAATTAGTTAAAACTTGTTGTACTTCCATTCCTATATCGTACTTCAACATTTCTCCATATTATTTAGCCAATCACAAATGTTCGTTTTCTATTTTTAATTTTTCCTTTTTGGGTTTTTGATTTGTTCTTTGGATATACAGGGATTGTGGGAAACAAGTTTATCTTGGTAAGAATTTCGTACTTTTGTTTGGTACTTTTTTTCTTTTTTGCAAAAATTTCGAACTTTGGATATATATTCTGACGAGATGAGATGGGTTTTTTCTTTTCTGCAAAATTTGATTTTATAGGTGGATTTGACACAGCTCATGCAGCTGCTCGGTGAGCCCTTTGTTTTCCAATAATAATTAATATTATTATTATCCCACATTTTGTTTATCTTAATTAATTTGGGGAATTAATTAAAATGCAGGGCGTACGATAGGGCGGCGATCAAGTTCCGGGGAGTGGAGGCGGACATAAATTTTAGCATAGAGGATTATGAAGAAGACTTGAAACAGGTGAGTTCATGAGTGAGAGTGTGTGGTGTGTACGGCCTCCGAGAAACAGAGAAAGGATTTTGTACTTATCTTCAACAGTTTTAATTTTATTATACCTTATCTTAAGGGTGATATCCATGTATCATTTTTTATTTCTCACACGTTATTTTAATTTTCGATCATCGGATCGGATGAATTGAAGAAGATTAACGGACATAAATTAACAAAAGATGTGTGAGAAGTAAAAATAGGTGTGTGGATAACACATCCCTATCTTACACCGTAGCAGCAAATACATATTTTTAATATAAACTATACTAGCGATATTCTACGTTGAATTCATTCAAACAACGAAACGAAGATTTGAACTTGAACATGAAAGTTTAAAATCGATTATTTTGAGCATGGGAAATTAAGATTCAGAATTTTGGTATTCTAGGGATGAATTATGATGTTAATGTTTTTTGTTGCATGGAATGGAACACACAACCACAAGAAGATGAGGAATTTAACGAAGGAGGAATTTGTGCATGTACTTCGCCGACAAAGCACCGGGTTCCCGAGAGGGAGCTCTAAATATAGAGGGGTCACCTTGCACAAGTGTGGCAGATGGGAGGCCAGGATGGGCCAATTTTTAGGCAAAAAGTAAGCACACAAATAATAGCGCTATTGCCACCACCTTTGGTCCTTCTGTTATTATTATTAATTGATTAAACTGTTTAATTAGCTTCCATCCTTCTCACTAATTTCTCACTGTTTTTGTTTGTTTATTTTACTATTTTTCTTCATTAATTTTGCTACAATATTTATAACTTTTTAAGCTAAATGGTTTGGCAGATACGTTTATCTGGGATTGTTTGACACTGAGGTTGATGCTGCAAGGTGTGTATGTGTATGTGTGTGTGTGTGTGTGTGTGTAGGTATATTTGTAGTCTTTAGTAATTTTATTTTTCGATTCTTGTAGGGCTTATGACAAAGCAGCAATCAAGTGTAATGGCAAAGAAGCTGTCACAAACTTTGATCCCAGCATCTACGATAACGAGCTCAACTCCTCTGGTAAATTTAATTAAATTGGAAAAACATTGATGCATTGTAGTTTGATGATGATTATATGCTCAATCTTGATTTAATTAGTATAATTATTCATTTCGATATGTATTTGTGTAGAATCATCGGGTGTTAATGCTGCGGATCACAATCTCGATTTGAGTTTGGGAAGCACAAACTCCAAGAAAAACAATCAAGCATTAGGGAATGATCATCATAGCCAAAATGTTGCAATGCAACACCAGCATTCTGTCCCGATGCAACTCGATGCCGATTGGAGGAGTCAAGGACTTCGGCCTAAGGTATCTTATGTTGCCACATTATGAATGTAGACCATAATTAATTAGGTTAATATAAGTCTGTTTAGAGAACATTTCATACATTATTAACCATTTCTGAAGTTTTTGTTTCCTTTGTTTAATAGCTTAACATACAGCGAGATCGATCAAGAGACGACATTGATGCTCAGAGAAGAGACGGGTACTTGGAGAGTGAAGCCATGCAGCTTCTACTCCGAACAAACCTTCAATCTCAAGCCCCAGCTGAAATACATAAATATGGGCAGTTCAGTAGGAGGCCTACTGCTGGAGACATTCAAATGTCTCGCAATTTCCCACCAAATTTCAACTCATCAAATTATCATCATGTGAGGATATTTAATATTTAATTACACTCATAATTTCGTATAGTACATTGTGAAGTTAATGGTGATAATTGTGTATTATAAATTTTTATTTTTATTTTTTATTTTTTATGTAGATACAGTTTCCGAGCAGCAGCGAAGGAGGCGGCCGCATTGGCAGTGATCTTTCACTGTCAACGAGCGACCACCAACAACAATGGCAATCCGCAACTCCGACCTCCAATTTATTTGCAACTGCTGCAGCATCATCAGGATTCCCACAGCAAATTAGACCGTCGCCCACGCAAAACAGCTGGCTGCAGAAAAATGGGTTCCACTCTCTCACCAGACGCTAATTAAGCTAGCTTAGCTCTTTGATCATGACCTCTTAATCAAGATTTTTCTGCATCTCCACGTCCCCGATTCTTGTTAATTACGATCAGTCCTCTTGATTATGTTTATTTTGTAAGCACCAAATCGGCAAGTCCAGTTCTTCCAGAGCCCCATGTCAAAGATTTTAGAACAAGGACGGGAAATTCTCCTAGTTTGTGGGAAATGAAATCAAATGCATGCTCTCATTGGTGTTTTACCAAAAACAAGATGTATGGTCATTTTGTCCAACTAACAAATGAACGAAGTAGATCCTGAACTAGATTTTCTGAGTTCTGACAACAATAATTGATTTGTTCTTTTTTTAATTTTTTGTATAGGTTTTTTATATTATTTGCTTAAAGCCTAGAGTACTATTTATTACACAGTACTACGACATCATAGATCAACTTTTGTAACATAATCGCAAATTTCTGTCTTCAATAGAAAGTAAGTACGTTAATTAATATTTTTATAATAATTCAATTATTAACAACTAAGTTATATTTTAAATAGTTGTTCTTCTCTTTAACAAATTATTCTAAAAATTTCCGTATGGGCGTTAGGTGGCTAGTCAGCTCGGATTAATTCTTAAGCGTTTGAAAATTAAAAAATGACTCATAGACTTGCTTAGCGTCCGCCTAACCTGCTAAGTTGAGAAGCTTGAAACTCTAATCCGTCGTCCGACAAACGCCTAACATCTTTTAGAATATTGTTCTTACTCTTTACTACGGTATCTATCATTTTTAATAAATGAAAGTTTGGCCACAAAAGTTGGGGTTGGAGTGTTGATTCTTTAGTTACCTAATGGGGTAATGCGTGACATAATTTAGGTGAAAAACGTAGTGGAGGAAAATATAGGGTTAAAAATTTCTATTAAAAGAGGGGTGGAGACACAAAAAAAAAAAAAAAAAAAAAAAAAAAAAAAAAAGCTATACGAAAAGGGGGTGTTTTGTAAATGTGTTGGAAATATAAACGCGATGGTGATGAATAGTCGCTATCATCGGTGTCCTTTGAATCAGTTCTCTCCGCCAAAAGCAGTCAGACACTGCTATTATGACGAGAGGGACCTTTCATTCTAGCCTCAAAGGACATAAACAAATAAAGCAAGATATTTTATAAATTAATTAATATATTTTATATTAAAAAAGTTGATGACCAGAGGGGTACAAGGGCTAGGGTTTCAAATTAGAGAAATGATAGTAACTACAGAGTTGTTTTCATTTTTCACATATTTTTGCGTAATTTTATGTCGTGTTTCTAATTATAAATAAAGAGGAGTTTAGAGTTAATTTGTGCATTGTTTTTGTCTGTCCTTTCAATCTAATGACTATAAATAAAAAATAATGTGTGGAAAAAGAAAAATTGCATGTGTTTAACGGTTTTCTAAAGTTAATTGTTAGTTTTGAAAAACAAAATGTGATTATTCTTTACAAGTTGCCAACACTATTAAATTTTATACTGCTCAAATCTAACCGTCAGTCTGTGTGTTGGTATTGAGTATGGTACTAAAAACAAATTTAATGGAACGAGATCAAGCTTAATGAGTGGGTTAGACCTAGAACATGAATAAAGAAAGGAAAAAAGAAACTAAATATATTAAAAAAGAAACAAACACAAAAAGTTAGTGACCAAATGCGTAGAAGGGTTAGGGTTCCACTTGGCCATTTTGCAAATTAAAAAACACTGGGGCCAAGTTCGATGAGTGGGTTAGACCTAGAACATGCGACAATACGAAGAAAACGTTTTCAACTTTTTATTTTTTATTCATAAAAATGGTACACAATAATATGTTAATTATCCACCACATTTAGATAGTGTAAGTTGGGTAGATGCGAATAAAATACAAGAGTTGCTTCCATCATCCTGCGCGTCACACCAAAGGTTTTTTAATAGGCTCATGCAAATATATTCTCCTCTGTTTCGCTATCGATCTTCACATTTTTTCGAAGTCTTCATCGGATTACATGTTATTCAAATGTATACGAAAAATTTTAGGAGTGGGATTTCGTTTTGCGGGATATGAAAAAACCAATCGAGGCAGACCTATGAATATAAATATACGAAAGGTACTTTGTAAATATCCCTGGCTTCGTAGCTGTAAAATATTCTACGTACTTACGTTTTGGGGATGGCATATATGTTGATTAATTAGTCGTAATCATGGATTAAGCATTGTAATTAGGCATCTGATCAACCATAGAGCAAAAGATTCTGTCCCTTGCATGTGAGAGCGGTAAACAAGGCCTGCGAAGCAAAGAATCGTACGCAACCCCTCTCATTTTTACTGCCACTTTTCTTCATTGTTCTTTTGACTTAGAAGTAGAAGCCAAATGTAGTGCTTCTAAATCATTTGAAGAACATAAAACTATTTGTGCGTAATTTAGAATATTTAAAGAACATAAAATTTGAGAAAATTTCACAATTCCTTGATAAACTTATTAGTGAAGATTATGGAATTGTATTCTTTGCTTTAATTTCACATTTCATTATTGTTATTTACTTTTAGGCTTCATATTTTCACATTTATCAGTGTTATAATATGACATTATTGCTCAATGTCTAAATTACAAAAAAAAAAAAAAAAAAAAAAAAGATATGTTACACTATTAGAATGAAATTGCTATTACTATAACTCGTTAGTGTTTACATTTAGAACTTCTTATTACACATGCGTCAACGTGATTGTATTTCAAAATACAAGGTACCTTAGACCAAGGGCAGATTCACATAGGGACCAAGGTCTCTTGAGCCCATAGGGTATTTGACTATTTGATAAATATTTCGACAGTATTTAACAGCTTGCGTTGACATATGTTTACATTGATCATGTGCACGACATGGCTTGATAGACGACAACATACTGCACCAATATTTGATGAAACATCTAATTGGAATATTGTGCGATGTTTCCACGGTTCCATCTAAAAGACTTGGATCTGTTACACTGGATCTTCCTTGAATCCTTGATTTGCTAACCCTAAATTTTGAGGTTAAAGAAGTAATTTTCTCACATGTTTTTATTTGCTTTGCATAGAATGAATAATACAAAATCTTTGTGTGCCGTAGATTTCTTTATCAGTGTTATGCGTGAAGTGGTCCAAAGCACCAACTTTTGCACGGGGCTTTATATAATTTAGGTTTGAATTGACTGAAGGAAAAACTGCAATTTCCAAAAGGGAACAAAGCGACACTGTCCTCTACTAGCTTAAAGCCCCTCGCCTAAGATCCTTTCCTGTGCATCGGATCTACGAAGCACTGCCATTTCTCAGACAAACAGATCATTTATCCCACCCTCTATATACATTTCTCATCATATGCTTTCTACCATTAAATTTTGGTGAAAAAAATAAAACAAAAAGGTGAAGGCTAATAACTGGTAACACAGCTATATGAATTAATGTTATTATTGCATATGTGTGTGTACTAGGAGTGTGGGGACCAATTGGAAAATGAAACAGAAAACTAAAAGAAGGAAGGTGCGATTAATCTTATAACCGTTGATTCTAAAAATTACGCAGCTTGCGTGGTACGCATGCTTTACGTTATTCAATGTGCGGATGTGCCAATTTGCTACTGAGCTTGGCCGGGCAAATGTCTTGAATGTGGTGGATATGGTGAAATGTGTTGTTGTACTTCTGAATCGAGCGACTTCAGAGAAGAAAGGAACACTCTTGGACTTGGGTTCTATAACTTGAATTCAAAGTTCTGCCAATTGTTGTGAAGTTCAATACTGCTTCGACCATCTATGTGTCGAAATCTAAAAGTAACATCTCACTTCACAGAGAAATGTGATGAAGTGACCTCTTTCGGCAAAAGAATAAAAAGTTCTTCGCCGGCTTAGACTTGAGATGAATAATCAGTCGGACCTTAGAGAGTCCCCATCCAACCAGACAATCGAGACTCCGAAGACAAATTGACTCTAAAACTCTGCCCTCTTCTATCCAATCGCTTGCCTTTAGTGGTTTCTTCTGGAAAACCTTGTTTATCCAGTCAGTCGTTGTTCGTCGGCTGGTAACCCAAACCCGTCTATCTAGTAGAAATTTGTGTTGACGGTTAGTGAAAAGTTAGTTTTCTCAAAAAGTGTGATGGGTTTTGCGTAGATCATTGATTTATGTGTTGAGTTGAAGGTCCTCTCTACGTTGCAAATCCTTTTGTATTTGTAAGGATAATTTACTTGATGCCTAAGATTGTCAAGTTGCACAATTCTGATAGTATTGCATTTCGTCAGCATTATCTGAAAACAAGTGGAATTATCTCCATAAATCTTTCTTCCACCGAAACTCTATCACAGCCGAGTCTTGGCCTCTTCTACTTGAACTAGGACTCTGAACCTAGACCTTTTATGTGATTAATTCCATTCTTATCCAGACACAAGTTTTGATCCTTAAGCAATTTCATCCAAATCTTATCAAAACCAATCTTTATCCCCCAAAAATCCTACTTTGTTTGGGATTTGACTGAGCCATAATCCAACCTTAAGGATCATTTTGTGGAATTGTATTGGGATTATTATGACATTATGAAAAGTAAGTGATTATCTTGAACATTTTTTTATGAGTATTATGAACATGTTTCTTATATTAATGCACTGCTTTGGAGACAATAACACCATGAGCATTTGTCAAATTATTAATTTGTTAGAGAAAATAAAAACGGTAGTACATGCTTCAAGAAAAAGACTAACTTAGCTACTTATGAAGACAATAACACCATATGTCATTTCTCATGCATAGGAATGAGAAGGAAAAATAAAATTGAGGATAGGAATTAGCGGGAAAAAATAGAGGGAAAGTTTTGTTTTTTTTTTTTTTAAATTTATTTTTAGTTTTTTAATCATTTTTAAGAGTGAAATGACTTAACTACCCTCACATGTTGTGCACATGGTCTCACTTAACAGAAATATGGATGGAATATATGAAAAACTAACAGTAGGGGGCAAATTGGCTAAAAAAATTAGTTCGAGTTCTTAATTTTCCAATAGAAAAGTTCAGGGGGTAAATTGACAGTTTACTCAAATATATAAACACCAAATAATAATAATAATAATAATGTAACATGTTAGAGAACATATGTGAAAAGAATAATGTTAGACTAATTTTTTTACACCACATTTGCAAATTATGGAATGTACTCACCAATAAAAAATAAACACGTTAACTAATACTGAAGTAATAATTAAATCATCAACAACCACATCATAATTGAGATGAGTGGGTTACAAATAACAAAAATGTAATAAATAAACAAATTATCATGGAACACTGTGTATACTAGTTATGT